TCAGCATTTCCAGGAAAAAAGCAATTAAAAGAAATATTGAAGTACATAAACAGTTTTGTCAGACTTCTAAAGAGAAAAAGTGGCTTTTACAGAGCACAGGAAAGATCAGCTTAGATAGGAAACCTGCTACTGGGAAGGAAAGAAGCGTTCTGATATCATCTCAGACATTTGTGTACTGTGCTGGATAATGTTTCAGAGAATTAAGTCATGCTATGCAGTTACATATAGAAAACATCAAATTCTCTGAAACTGAAACATATCCCACTCCTTTTAACTGTCATTATATTTTTGTTTGAATGACAATATGTCAGTTAATTATAGGAAGTTATACACTCTTCTCACAGTGTTTCTCATTAAAGTATGCCTGGCTGAGTACTGGCAAAAGAAAAAAAGGATGAAAATTAAGTCAACTAAATTAAAGACTGAAATTTATTCAAAACAGTGCACTTCACATCTTTCTAAGATTCCTTCCTGCAAAAAAAAAAAAAAAAAAAAAAAAAAAGAAAAACCTTAAAAAATTGAAAACATTGAAAAAGTTTTCAATAACTTGCTGGATTTGTGTTTTGCTTTAAATAGATTAGGCATCTTTATCATCCCAAAAAGAATATGACAGTCTCTCCACTACTTAAAAAAACATTTTTATGTATAGTAATGTATTCTTATGGGATTTTGTGTAAGATGTGAAAGATTGCTAATGACTTCAATAGATTGAAGTTATTTGTGTCAGTAGAGTGAAAACAGGTTGAGCTTTTAACAACTGAAGGCAAAATTGAAATTTAACTTTTAACTGAGCTAACTAGCGTGCTATAGCTAAAGCACTGTACATGAAACCTTGGAGAATTCATCACAAGCATACTATCACATCCAACAAGCCTTACATAAGGTAATTTCCTCTGGTGACAGCATGCAGTCACTACTAAAAAGAAGCAGAGTAAAGTAGCTGAATGTTGGCAACAGTTTAGCAGAATATACAAATTAAATGTTGTGTTCATCTATTATTCGTTATTTCATTATGTCATGTCTCTAAATATTTCTCCTGCTGCAGTTAGTGCTATTTCTTTTGATGATCAGTTTTGCTCCAAGCCAGTGTTACTACACAAGCTTGATTTGTCACAGACAAACTTTTTTCTTGGTCCCTAAATAAGCTTTTATATATTCTGATGAGCATTATCTTGTTAAGAAAGTAAAGAGACTATTCTTATAAAATGTAGCTGCTTGTTTAAGTACTCTTTTCTACTTGTCTCTGAGTGTGCTCAAATAAAGATATTATACTAATGCCTGCAACTATGTCATTTACCTACAGCAATTTATTCAAGGTTTCATCATACTGCTTTGAGTTTACATTTAATGAAGACCATCTGAAGTGTCCCCATTGCAGCTGCAGGCTCTGTAGAAATCCTAGCGCAAGAGGCAATATGCTGTATTGTGATGCAGATTTGCTTAAGAGTGCATCTGCAGCAACAAGATCATTTCCCATGGTCTTCACTGTATTTCTTCTATTATTCATGGAACACAATGTAAATGAAGCTATAAATTTTACCACATACTAAATGTAGAAAGATAATGGAAATTGTGAATTATGAATGAATCACTGTTATTGTGATTCCTCAAGGATTCTGATGTAGATGATTATACACACACAAAGACACTGTAGCTAAACCTCTTTATATTGATCTTGAAAAATGATCCTTAGAATATTATAATTAATATACAGAATTCATAGATTTGTTTTTCATGACAATGCTAAACACAACTAAACGTCAAAGGCAATTACATATCAATGCATGCTACCTAGGGGCAGGCAAGCATACTTTTATTTAGGATTGCTGAACTGGGAGGAGAAAGATAATAGCTCACAAAAATGTGTTTCCCAGCTACCCACATGTGTGCTTTCACATTTAAATAAGCCACAGGCAAAAGTTTGAGGAGTATTTTGTAGTGAACACATTCATACGGCAAGTAATAAGCGGTGTTTTTCTGTAGGATGGCTGGAAATGGAGCCTTTAAGTGAAAGCAGTATTCTTCTGTAAATTACACAATCAAAAAAACCTACAAATACCAATCTCTTTGCCCGATTTCACATGATAGCTAGAGGCATTAATTCTTATACTTTCCCTTTACGAATAGTTCCATTTGAGATATGACCAAGTTCAGAACAGTTCTGGTTTAACTGTGTTTGGAAATTAGTAAAATTATACACTGCAACAGCCCTAGCTATAATCAACACCTAAGCACTTATTAAACCTCGGGGCAAGTTTGGATCCCCCCTCTTGGGAGCAGAAGCCGATGCATCATTTTAAAATAGCTTAGATCCTGAATTCCACGTCCCATGTGGAATCTCAAGAACCTGGTTCATTTCACAGAACAACCTTGGCTCCACAGAGCAATGGACCGACTCTCTTTTTAGTAAACTTTATAGAATCACAATCATAGAATCGCAAGGTTGGAAAGGACCTACAAGATTATCTAGTCCAACCATCACTTGTTGACCTGAATACAATTACTTGTCTAGAGAGGGAATACATAAGACATTTAATAATTTATTGTGACATGTGCTTATGACCAGTCAGATCACTACAGAAAGTAAACCAGAATAAACAACAGCGCTCTATTTCCAACATACTTCAAAATTTTGTAATGGACAAAAGAGAGCAACTTTAAAGCAACCTCAACAACCTGCCAGCATTTCTGCCAAAATATTTTTAATTCACATGCAGGAAGCCAACTGAGTACCACGATCAGTATTTTGAGGGTACAAGAGGATTTTGCTTAGCTCTGATTTCTAAGGATGTTTTTTTTTCCCCCCCACTAGAATACCATGCTACTCAAGTCCGTGGTACTGTCAAAATATTATTCCATTTTTAACCACTACATGTGAACTCCAATTCTTCTGATGTTCTTTACCTAGCACCTTTACATAACATGAGCACACTTGAAATAATGCAAGTTTAAACAAATTTCAGGAAAATTTTAAGATTCCTGTTGTAACAAAAACTGCAACCTGTATAATTTAGAAACTGTATGATAGAGAAAAATCAAAAATTGCTTACAAGCATTTTTTCTTTTAAATCAAAGAGAAAAGAAGAGAGTTAATGGTAAAGTAAGAAAAGTAATACTTCTTCACTATTTTCTCCCCATTCGTTACAGTTATAGAAGAAATGACTACAGAGGACATGAATTACATACCTCCACATAAACATGCCTTGTGATTTGGTATATATGTTACTTCCACATTTCTTAAATATATTAGCTTTCATTAGTAACATTTAAACAAACCATTTACTTGCAAAGACTTTTCTGAAGTTAAACTGAAAAAAAACAAAAATAATTAAAAAGTTCAGAAACATCACATATTAAAACAAATAGTTTTGCACATGGTTAAGTCATTTTCACCATATGAACTTTATAACTGCTGTGCAAAGAAAATAACTCTAAAGGCAGCACATGATTTCATCTCTATCAGCGATGCATACTTGACAACTGACTGTCCTGATGGAACAGGCTATTTGTTTCTATTCCCATCACTAGATATGACTTGATTTAGAGAATCATTTAATCACATTTGAAAATACTACTCTTCTGGAACTTCTCCCTCCCAAGTCCAATACATGACAACACGGGAATGAAATTCAAAAGAATTAAATCAGGGATATTTGTTTTAAGTTGAAGCACTGCTGTCAAAAAAACATTCTCTGATATCATGAAGATTGATGATGATTACATAGCATTCACGTTTAAGTCAGATGAATGAAATGCCAAAAAAGAGATGCAATGAAAAGTTATACACTGCTATTCAGCTCAGTAGTCACAAAGACCTAACACAACCAGTAAAGCTCTGGTCATCCAGTTCACTGGTTGTTATCAGTTGATGGATCTACCAAAGCGCAGCTACTAAAGGAGTCTGATGATACTATTTGATTATTCCATACTTCTATATAGATGTCCTGAGAAAGTCATAACAAAGATAATACTCTGCAGAAGTCTATATGTTAGGCACTACCATTTGTGATTGCTTATGGGGAAGTCAAATGACATAGAAATTCAATATGTCAGTGAAATGACACACCAAAGATTACCCTGGGAGCAGAGCATGGGAGCCCTAACTACCTCCCGATTAAACATTACTTCCCAGCTGTAAAGTTGAAGAGTGAACTGAAATAAAATAGCATTTGCTTCAAAACCATGCTTCTCCTCCAATAGCCCATATTTTACAAATGCAACTATATTTATTTGCAAAGAATGAGTTACAAATGAAGAGCTTTGTTTTGCCAAGGCAAATGCCCTCCTCGAAGGGAGATGTATTTCGACTAGAATTAGAAGACACCTAAAAATGCAGGAAAAGCAAACAGAGCTGCATTTACCAGAACTTCATTTTATAATTCTCACAAAATTAAATTACACCACATATTACCCTAAAGATGCAGTCCTATTACAGCCATCTTCAGAGTGTTATTTTATATTTTTCTCCATTTGTCCATAAATGTCTGTTGCGTAAAACATATTGGCAGTTCTTCTAAAATGTGATTTATGGTAACATTTAAACACTTACCGCTTGCTATTCATTCTTCCAGCTACGTGATTCTTTTTAAGATAGAAAACACTGAGCATCTCAGCAAAGCAAGATTTTAAAATTTATGGCAGTTTCTTCTTTTTTAGACATTTTTTACTGCCCTGTTTATTAATAAAAAGTAGTCATTAATTAATCCATAGGTTGGATGGGTGACACAGTGTGCAGGAATTATCTTGGGCAACAAATAAATTATGCAATATAGTCAATGTATGTAAGAAAAGTTATCTATTTCTCATTAAAACGAAAAAGAGCAACAAGAACAAGGCTAGTGGGATATTTGACCTTGTTTTTGTGAAACTAATGCCATCAGGCTGATTTGATGGCAATGCTTGCCATTCCTTGTGAGTTCTCAAGGTGTTAATCAGATTTTCAATGAAATATTACTTCTTGTGCTTCATCCTTGACAATAATTGTTCACAAGTGTACATACTGCCAAAAAGTGATGACATGAAATAAGCTTGACTGCAAAGCGAGGGATATTCTTCTCTAGAAAGACAGAACCTACAGAAGTCTGAAAAAAAAAATTTGTTTACATTTCTTTGATGAGTTGAATGTCTGCTTGCAACTCTATACATTCCATTTGAAAATTTACAGGTAAGGTATTTATGTCAACAGAAAATAGTCACAAATATACCAAAAAATGATTTTTTTTTTCAATCTTGAAACATATTCCCAAATTCCTTTATCAAAACAGAAAACAATGGCTACATTTTTTTTATTTTTTATTTTTTTTTACTGTTCACAGGACTGTGTTTAGCCAACAATGAATGAGAATACTTGCCATAACTTATACTTCCATAATTTAGGTTTCATTTCAACTGCTGTTATTATCTGAAGCATAGCACAGATACGTTGATTTTCACCTTGAAGACATGCATTTAACTCATTTAAATGACCAGTCAAATTCACACAAAAAAAGCTAAATTCATGAGCCATATTTAAACTACATATTCTGGCTCAAGTTTTCCTTCTGATTCCATAAAGCTGTACCAGGCCACAGGTTGGACATGTCTGATTCTTTGTAAATCATCAGCATGGCAGAATTATATGCTTTAATCTTGAAAAAGATACAGCCACTTAATGTGTAGTATGACAGCAGACTCATTTTTCTTTGAAGCCTTACAGAACTGTATAAAATAACTAATTCAGTTATTTTTTTGTTCACTATGAGAAGTGATAGTTGTCTCTATCAACTTGCATAGCAGAAGCAGATAGATTTTCTGAACAGAAAGCCTTCCTGAAGCACCAGTGGAAGCTCTAAATATCAGAAAGCAGTTTTTGTACTCATACCAGATAGCTTAACAACATTCCATGCCTTTTCAAACTTACTGTTTTTTAAGCATAGACTACCATAGACAAAATACTTTCCTATCAGATTGACGTTAATTCTATGGGCTAACGATGCTAATTAGCACAGCATCCAGACAGCAGCACACCCCCAGCATAACAACCTAAGATAAAAAAAGTTCCTCCAAAGTAATTATTACACATGTAAGTCTCTGAATGCAATAATAAATGCTGACAGAGCTCAAAATTCCAGGTATTTCTAGATCTACTGACATGTAAAAAGAAAGATCACTGAACATATTAAAAGCTTCTTGGCTGTTCTATCAATCACATGTTATAGACAACCCTCTGAAAATACAAACTGTGACCTGCTCTTTCAAAGTGCACAAAGGTAGAAAAAAAGAGAAAGCCTTTTTGTGAGGACCCTGCACATTAGAATTAGAGATGACATGAGGTTTCTGTTGGAATTATGGGATTTAATTCAACTAATTGAGCACGATGGTCAGCTATCGTTACAAATAAACATCAGTAAGACTCTAGAAAACAACTGCATTTGCAAGAAAAACAGTTTGGCTCATGGGAAAAAATTTACTTATGGAAAAAATGAATGAGATTTCCAACATCTTTCACTCCCTAAGAAGTTGTTGTGCACGTGTCATTCAGACAAAATTCTAGAAGGAAGCATTTCAAAGTATTTGAGGTTGCTGAGTTGCAACATAGGAAATTATCACATCATTTACAAATCATCTAGTCAAAAGCAAAGTAGTTAGAGACATCTTAAAACACTGACTGTCAACACAAGTGTTAAACCTAAATGTAAATAAACAAATGTCACAAGAGTTTACAAAGATATAAATGGGAATTTATTTCCATGAAAACACTGCTTTCGACTTTTTTTAGACAGTTTTGTTTAAAGTAAATAAAATGAGAAATCATCCAATTATTTTCTCGTGTTGGGCAGAAGTAGAACAGGGCAAGGACTCATACATAACTATTTTAGCAGGTGAGGAACTGCAGTTGTGTAGATGTTTTAAAAGTCTGTTATGACAAAAAGACATGAAAGAACAACTCCTATATTCCCACACATTTCAAACATCACATAAAAAAATCAAATACTTGAGGTTACCACATACAGTTCCAGTACTTAGGCTTTACATTTGTTTTCCATATTTAAAGCAAGAAGTACAATATGGAGAAGAATCTATGAATCACTGCTAAGAAGCCTATATCTCAGAATGATGATTTAAATATTAATTCCAAGGGTTTGTTGTTCTGACATGAGTTTTGATTTTTGCATTAAAAACATTAAGTCAGTGAGCTAGGTCACTATTTTCTTGACGATTTTGGAGCTTTTTAACTAGGTGAACATACCTCTCAAGATGCATTCAGATTATTATTCTACAACTTCATTATCCTAATAATTTGATCAATTTTGCTTTTTATAATCAATACATTTTATTTTGTCTTGAATACTTTATTAGTATATTTTCAGTGATACTAACTTTACTTTCGCTGCTTTTGTGATTTTTCAGTTTCAATAGAGATCTTGCTACTGCTTGGAGTCATACTTTTTCAGCAGTATAGATACTTGAGGGTCCTGGTAGATATCAACCAGTCAATCCAAACCCTGACCTCTCCACCCTTATTAACCTTTGGTTTTCAAATAACAGAATCCACTAAGAATTTTAACCACTGAGAAGATGTCCACACTTAGAGTGGGAGAACTTGTGAACATACCTTTCTAGTCAACAGCTACCTGCTGCATGATATACTACCTGTATGCACGTGACAAGAAAAAATTGTCCTTTAAATACAGATTTGTTTTTGGATCTTGTGATCTCAACTTCCTTCATGTTTTATACTGGTGTTTAAGTAACTGAAAGTTTAACAAATATTCAGGAAAAGGTATCATATGAGAAGTGATACATAAATTCAGATGTCATGAGAATACTACACTATGATGGATTTTATTAAATGTGATCCTATTCCCTGTAAGGAATCTTTGAGAAGGATGTACCTCCACACAGAGAGTACCCCTGTACCCCTCTCTCTCTTCTATATACTTCAAGTAACCTTGTTCCTCTGATTTCAGCAACGGGAAGTTTGTGTAAAGCCATTACTCCATATGATGCAAGTCTAACAAGTGTTCTTTAGGTCATATCCTGCACAGCAAGCATTACAACTTGAAGAACTCGCATGTTGTTCTGCAGTAAAGTACCAGTCTTTTTTCCTTTTCCCCTGCCACAGCTCACATACCACATTCTGGCTTAATAATTGCTGTATCTGGATTGTTAATTCCTATTTGATTCATTTCTGATCTCAACTCTACTGCTGGCTTTCCTACTGTAGCTCCAACATTCTTGTAATTAACACAGCAGAAATCTGCCTGGGATTTGGAATCTACAATCTCTGAAGAACACTCACACAATTTTTATATACCTTTCCTATTTTTTGTAAATATAACAAAGCAGCACCTTGAAGGATTCTCTAGCTTGTCAACAATTGCAGAATGACTGCTAGAGAACCTCAGGAAGGCCTCAACACCTTGTTAAAAACCACCAATTTGCTGCTTTGAAAACAACTAGCTTTCTCCATAAAGGTTTACAGCTTTATCCTTTTGCATACTACATGAAGTGGCAATAAGTCTATGCTATCATAATATCCAATGTATAATTTGTGAAAGAGATTTCCTACCTCAGCTGGTTATGAATCAAGTCTCAAAGATTCTAATAGATCTGACCCAAAGTATGTTCTTTTACCACTTTATTCACTGCTAACAAATTATTTACCCAGGAAGATGAGAAAAACACTTCATTTCCATTCTCCAGTCTTCCCATTCTTGAGAAGGGTTGTCAGGCTAAGAAATAACTATGGACAGCCCCCTGTTAAAATGCTAGCAGTGATAATACACATTAATTTTCACCACTGTCTCATGAGTGTCTCCATGCTGAGCAGTGAATCATAGTTTACATATTGATGAGAACAGCATAAAGATACTTCCCTGTAGTTTCACACAGGCTGTATACAAGAATAGGACTGCAGGGTTCCCAAACTCTCACCTGAAGTTTCTGTACAAAAAGCAACACATTTATAGCCCCCTACTGCTACAAAGAAGCAGAAAATAATCTGTTCCCCATGCCCATCCTGAACAGGACTAGTAATGGATTTAAATTACAATGAGAAAGCTTCAGCTTCAACATGAACAAAAACCCTTCTATTAGTAAAGACCAGAAGAGATTGCCCGGGGAGATGGCAGAGGCTCTATCATTTCTAATCTCTACTAACAGCTTAGAGAAACATCTGTCCTAAATCTTGAGCTTTGAACTGTCCAATACATTAAGCATGGCAAGGTTCCAAATAAGCTCTCGAAGTGGATGAGCTGTCCTACAATTTACATACGCACTACATTTCAAGCCACATTAAGAACTACTCAGCAGCAGGTACAATATTAAAATCTGCATTTTATTTTAATCTCATTCCTAAAGGATCCAACAGGCCTAAGAGATACAGTAACAGTGTCATGAGCTTGATTATTAACAAACTAAGATCTATTTAACTTCCAGAATTCTACCTATGAGTTCAGTACCTATGAATTGTACCTACAAACTCCATACTGTTAAGTGTATTTTGCTATCAGTTTAAGGAACCTGAGTTTGACCTATGACAGTACCATAAATGTGACCATTATATTGAACATTCAATAAATGTTTTAGATGAAAAAAGATGAATTCACTATTTAAGTTAATGTTGAGAATTTGACTAAGAAATGTACTTTGTATAAGCAAGAAAGTAAAGAAAAAACTTTAAAGGAAGATTTAAAAACCTAACTTAATGACTTGAACATTTAGATGCTACTGCTTCTCTCCATAGCCTATGGCAGTAGCATAAATCAGTAGCTACCTAACTGAAATAGAACACGACCTCTGCCAGTGGATTTTCATTTCACATCCCAATCACTCCACTGAATCTCAGCATGAAAGTTTTTTTAGTCAGATATTTAGCAATTTACTTATAACTATTAGCTAGATGACAGTTATGGAGCACAGTGACAAACTCAAACCAAAATTCAATATTATAATTACAAGTGGAATTCTGAAGAGCACAAAGTAAATGCTTGTGTTCAGGTGGTGCAAGACTTCCTAACTGTAGGATGTTGTTTTGTTCCATTTTGATCACTTCATTTTCCTTCAGATTGGTTTAATTTGAGGAGAAAAAAGGACACTA